ACAAACTGAGGGAATTTTAGAAATACAAAATCTGTTTAAACAAACAGAAACTATAGACTCAAGCGTAACCAACAGAATACAAGAGACGAAAGAAAGAATCTCAGGCATTGAAGATATGATAGAAGAAAGGGATTCATAGGTCAAAGAAATGTTAAATCCAACAAATTATTAACACAAACATCCCAGGAAAACTGGGAGACCATGAGAAAATCAAATCTAAGAATAATAGAGATAGAAGAAGAACTCCAGATCAAAGGCACAAAAAATATATTCAATAAAATCGTAGAAAAAAATAAACTTTTCCAACCTAAAGATGGACAGGCCTATGAAAGTACAAGAACTTTATAGAACACTAAGTAGACTGAACCAAAAAAAGTTCCTCACCATATAACAATATAAACATGTAAAATAAAGAAAGAATATTAAGAGCTGCAAAGGAAAAGGCCAAGTAACAAATAAAGACAAATCTATCAGAATTACAACGGATTTCTCAACGGAAACCATGAAAGTTAGGTTTCCTGGACAGATTGCTGCAGACACTAAGCTCAGTCTGTTATCCAAGGGAAAGCTTTCAATCATTATATCCTGAGAAAGAAGATATTCCCTCAAAAAACCAGCTTTAAACAATACCTATCCACAAACCCAGCCCTACAAAAACCACTAGAAAGAAAACTCAAACCCAAAGTAATTAACTGACCCACAAAACACAGACAACAGATAACCTCACACTAGCAAACCCTAAACAAGGGAAACACACAAACAGTGCCACAAAAAATATCAAAAATTAACAGTCACTGGCCATTGACATCTCTTAATATCAATGGACTCAATTCACCTATAAAACGACACAAGCTAACAGAAAGGATATGAAAAGAGGATCCATTTTTATGCTGCATACAAGAAACACACCTCAACCTCAAAGACAAACATTACCTCAGAGTAAAGGGTTGGGAAATATTTTCCAATCAAATGGACCTAAGAAGCAATCAGGTGTAGTTATCCTAATAGCTAAGAAAACAGACTTCAAATTAAATTAATCAAAAAAGATGGAGAAGAACACTTCATACTCATCACAGAAAATTTTGTCAAGATGAAGTCTCATTCTGAACATGTATGCCCCAAATAGAAGGGCACCCACATATATAAAAGATACATTACTAAACCTTAAATCACACATCAAATCCCACACACTAACAGTAGGAGACTTCTATACCTCACTCTCACCAAAGGACAGGTCTGCCAGACAAAAACTTAACAGAGAAATAAAACAACTAACAGATGTCATGACTCAAATGGGCTTAACAGACATATTTAGAACATTTCACCCAAACACAAAAGAATATACCTTCTCAGAACCTCATGGAACCTTCTCGAAAACTGAACATATATTCAGTAACAAAGCAAACCTCAACTGATACAAAAAAGAATGGAATAACCTTCTGTATCTTATCCATGACTTAAAGTTAAAATTCAATAACACTAATTGCATAAAGCCTACAAACTCATGGAAATTGAACAGTGCTCAATTGAATCACCCTTGGATTAAGAAGGAATAAAAAAATTAAAGTCTTCCTAAAATTCAATGAAAATTAAGGCACAACATACACAAACATATGAGACAAGAAGAAAGCAGAGCTAAGAGGAAAGTTCATAGCACTAAGTACTGACATAAAGAAAGTAGAGAAATCTTACACTAGTGATTTACCAGCAAACCTGAAAGTTCTAGAACAAAAAGAAGCTGATTCACTCAGGAGTAGAGAACAGAAAATAATCAAATTGAGAGCAGAAATTAAAAGAATAGAAACAAAAAAGTTCAAAGAATCAATGAAACAAAGAGTTTGTTCTTTGAGAAAATCAATAAGCTAGACAAATCCTTATCCAAACTAATTATAATGCAGAGAGAAAACATCCAAATTAACAATTCAGAAAGGAAAAGAGGGACATAACAACAGATACTAAGGAAATTTGGAGACTCATTAGGTCATACTACAAAACCTGTACTTCACAAAATTGGAAATGGACAATTTTCTGGATAGGTACGACATACCAAAACCAGATGAACAATTTAAATAGACTTAGAACCTGTAAGGAATAGAACCAGTCAGTAATAGTCTCCCAGCCAAAAGTAGTCCAGGACCCAATGAAGAATTCAATGCAGAATTCTACTAGAACTCTAAAGACGTGCTAATACCTATTCTCGAATTGTTCCACAAAATAGAAGCAAAAGGGACATTGCCAAACTATTTTTATGAGGCTACAGTTACCCTGATACTGAAACCACACAAAAACTCAAGTAAGAAAGAGAATTATAGACCATTCATCTTTATGAATATTGATGCAAAAATACACAATAAAATACTGGCAAACAGAATCCAAGAACATATAAAAAATCGTCCATCAAGATCAAGTTGTCTTCATCCCAGAAGTTCATGAATGATTCAACATATGAAGATTTCTCAATGTAGTCTACAATATACATAAACTGAAAAAAACAAGATCATCTCATTAGATGCTGAAAAAGCATTTGACAAAATCCAACACTTCTTCATGATAAAGGTTTTCGAGAGATCAGGGATACAGGGAATGTATCTAAACATAATAAAGGCAGTATACAGCAAGCTGACAGACAGCATCAAATTAAATGGACAGAAGTTCAAAGAAATTCCACTAAAATCAAGAACAAGACAAGGTTGTTCACGCTCTCCATATCTATTCAACATAGTACTCAAAGTTCTATCTAGACCAATAAGACAACAAAAGGACATTACGGGGATACAAATGGGAAGGAGAGAGGTCAAACTTTTGCTATGATAGTATATATAAGTGGCCCCCAAAATTCTATGAGGAAACTCCTAGAACTGATAACACCTTCAGTAATGTGGCCAGATACAAGATCAACTCTAAATATCAGTAGTCCTCCTATATACAAATGATAAAGGGGCTGAGAAAGAAAGTAGAGAAACATCACCATTTACAATAGACACAAATAACATGAAATATCTTGGGGGTAACACTAAACAAAAAAGTGAAATACCTGTATGTCTGAGTAATAATAACCCAAGACAGATATTGGGATTCAAGCTGAAGATTAGAAAACCAAAACAGCTAAGCCACTAGAAACGACTTACCTCTACCAAGGCTGGGCAACTGTAGACAGAGAGCTAAACCTTTGTCTCCTCCCATTTTATGTTCCACTTTAGTGTTGGGATTAATGGGGTGACTCCCTAGTACTGGGATTGAAGATGTGAGCCACCACCACCTGGATCTGTTTCTGCGTCAATCTCGTTTTGGCCAGGGAGCCTTGAACTCACAAAGATCGATCTGCCTCTGTCTCCCAAATCCTGGGATTAAAGGTGTGTGATATCACTGCATGGCTTCTATAGGTTTATTTTTACATTTTGATCTTCAGGTAAGCTTTATTTATTAAAAATAGATAAAAATATTATTATATGCAACAAGAACTTTTAAGTCTTTGAAGAAAGAATGTGAAGAAGATATCAGAAAATCAAAAGATCTCACATGCTCTTAGTTAGGTAAGATCAACATAATAAAATGGCATTTCTACCAAAATTAATCACCATATTCAATACAATCCCCATCAAAATCCCAGCACAATTCTTCACAGACCTTGAAAGAACAATATTAAACTTTCATTTGGGAAAACAAAAAATACAGGAGAGCCAAAACAATCCTGTACAATAAAAGAACTTCTGGAAGCATCACTATCCCTGACATTAAGCTCTACTATAGATATACAGTAATGAAAACAGCTTGATATTGACAGAAAATCCAATAAGTGGACAACAGAATTGAACTGAAGACTGCGATATTGATCCACACACCTAAGAGCATGTAATTTTTGACAAAGAAGATAAAATTATACAATGCTAAAAGAAAGCATCTTCAACAGGTGGTGTTAGCATAAATGGATGTCACCGTGTAGAAGAATGCAAATAGATCCATATCTATCCCCATGCACAAAACTCAGGTCCAAATGGATTAAAGCCCTTAACACGAATCTCAGCTATGGATTCATTTTTTCCTGCCATGATATTACAGACTAACCTGTAGGTACACAGGTTCCCCATTTTTCCCGAGGCGCTTTGCAGGGCTATTCTGCTTCCTGGTTCCACTGCATCAGCTTGAGGGTGTAGCATAGAACTGCCCTCTCCTGTTATGTTAATTTCACCTATGGCCCAAGGGTGTAGCTTAGAGAGAACTCTCCCTTTACTGTTATGGTAATTCCACCTGCAAGCAAGGTTCTCGCAAGGTTCAGGCAAGGTTCCCAGGACAGCTTTTCTCTGAGCCTGAGCACGCCCACCTGGCTTCCTCTTTTCTCTGTTCAGCTGCTCTCCGACCTTGGGTGCGGCCCCCTGACTTTTCTCTTTCCTTGTTCCTGATGGGGGGCTGGTGTCTTTCTGCCCCACAGTATATATACCCGACTTATGCTTAATAAAGTTGCCATTTACTCTTGTAGATGAGCCAGGTTTCTTTTGTGTGTGTCTCTTTTTTCAACCCTCAGGACAATCGTCCCTTCTCGTGGGACCGAGTTCAGGAAGCGCGCAGCCTGGGTCGGGCGTGGGTATCCATTGGAAAGTGCTGACTCTTACACTAACCCTCTAAAATTGTAAACAACTCTCCAATTAAATGTTAGATTCATAAGAGTTCTCTTGACCATAATGTCTCCATAGAAATAGAATGTTAAATAAAATAGGAGTCATCTCAAATACCATGTGATTACACTAAGGAAGGCCCTGGCAGCTCAACCCTACAGAGTAAAAAGCCATAGTGATAGTTGCTAGTGCCCAGAGCAGTGAGAAATAAGAGGTGACAGTTGATAAGTACAGAGCTAGTTAGAGAAAATGGAAAGTCACGACGGTTTCACAACACAGCAGTGAATGATCTTTCTGCGTGGAACTATATACCGAATTTTGATATGAATGAGTTTTTAGTCATATTATACAGACCAAACAATGAAAATGAATAGAAGCTTTACTAACCAGAGATGCTGCTGTCAAGTGAACGAATGGTAGGTGAGTGACAGGAAAGCCAGTTATGTAGGTCAGGAGAGCTGACAAGGAACTGGCTCCTCTCACTTGTCCTTTGAGGCTCTTTGTTGGCTTCACAGAGAGCTCTGAGCTCTTGAGCTATTATTGGCTGCTTCTAGTTCTGAGAATTCTATTGTGTCATCAAATTCCAAGTCTCAGTTGATCTCACCTACTTGTTTTTTGTCATTAATGTTTGAGTCTTGACACTGTTGATAGGGCCGGGGGAGACTGTGGTATTGTCTGTACTTTCTTTTGTGTTGTCCTTTGTTTTCAACATTTGCACTATTTGGTATTTACTAATGGAATTTTCTGTTTATGGTCATTATACACCTGACTGATTCAACCCTGACATCAGTTGCTTTCTGCTTTCTCCTTCTTTGAAGAGTAGCTTCTATCCTCTGTCATTGGAGGTGGTAATGTTTTTAAAATTTCATTTCCATGTAGAAAAGAATTTTATATTAGAAGTGAGTGATTTGCTTTAGTGCCTGCACTATGGAATGGTATGTGATCTGGGAACTATCTGGAGACTTAAAAATATACACACAGAGATAGACAGAGAGACAGTGACATGGGTCATCCTTGATACAAGAATGCCAAAAATGACAATTTTATTGTGTTCAGGGGCAGCTTATATAGTCCAAGCCATGCCCCAGCTCTCGGGATCTTTCATTTGCAACCACCAAAAATCACTCCCATGCCACCTGGGTCTCGTGCTCAGAGCAGCTGCAAACACAGGAAAACAAGTTGTTTGGCTCAGAGCATCTGTAAGCAAGTTGTTTACAGGAAATTCAGGGTCTGGGGATCCACAGGCCCCAATAATTTGCTTTTAAAATTTACATTGAGTTAAGATAGTGCCTTGAGATCAGAAAAGATTATAAACTTTGAGACCATGTTGAAACCTTAAATTAATACAGGGACTTTTAAATTTGAATGTAATGCATTTTGCTTCATTATATTGTTAGAAAACTTATGGATGCCAGGGAGTGGAATTTAGTGGTGTGAATGAGAATGACCACCATAGGCTCATATGTAGAAATGCTTTGTCCCTAGTTAGTAGAATAACAGAATTGTCGGCATCAACACTCAAAGAAAGCATCTGAATAATTCATCAGCAATGTGTACAAAGGCCTAGGTGAATTCAACAGCCAATGAGATTATAACTGCAATGAGAGAGGGAAACTCCTGGAACACATTTACAAATTACAATGAGATAACAATTACAGTTTTTGGTACAGAGTATTATGGAGCATCTTTGTACTATATTGAAATACACTAGAAGAAATCTTTCCATATTGCTTAGGAAAAAGTCAGTATTCAAATTGTGTCCCCGTGGGACTGTAAAGATGCCTTAGAAAATAGAAACATTTGCCACTCTTTTTTGGAAGCTGCCATTTTAATTTCAAATACCCATGTCACATGGCTCAAAACTGCCTATAATTTTTGCTTTTAGATACACAACTCTCTTTTCTGATCTTGGATATGGCATACACATCTGTCATCAAACATACACATAAGTTTAAATTTTTGCAGTCTAGAGAAATGTCTCAGTGGTTAGTAGCACTTGCTTCTCTTCCTTGGTATCTGGTTTCAATCAACAACTCTCATGTGGCATCTCACAAATATCTGTATTTCCATTTCAAAGGAATCCATTGCCCTCTTCTTGCCCTCAGGGGTATCTGGAACAAGTGATGCATAGACATGCATACAGTCAACACATTAATACATATAAGATATATATTTAAAAAACTAATCTTTAAAATATGTTCTTAGTCTTCTGTGGCTTCTTGTTTATAAGGTAAAAGAATGGGATAGAAAATGATGCAAGGGCTGACAGGAAATTATAGAATAAATACCAATATAATGTTTGCTTTATCTTTTTTCATGATTTTTGAAACAGTCTCAACATATATTTCCCAGTAATCTTGAGATTGTGTTCTGCCATGTTCTACTACAAAGCATTGGTATTTTAGGTATGCATCAACATTCCCCTTTTAAAAATTGCATAACTCTAATATTTTATTTTGAGATTAATAATCATTATATTTGTTCTTCAATATTCTGTGATATATTGACCTCTATTTTGATTATGACCATTGGATATCAATAAGAAGAGAAAGCTATATTTTGATGATGAATATTGGATATCAATAAGAAGAGAAAAATAAAAAGATTAAGAGGATAAAAATTGAAAATGGAGAAGTCAAACTTTTGTTAATTGTAGAAGATACAATACCACACATAAGTGACCCCAAAAATTCTACCAAAGAACTCCTTTAGCTGATTGATGCCCTCATTAATGTGGCAGGAAACAAGATTAACTAAAAAAGTCAGTAGTCTTCCTACTTACAAATGATAAAGAAGCTGAGAAAGAAATCAGAGAAACATCACCCTTCACAATAGCCACAAATAACATAACCAAACATCTCAACATAAATCCAGCCATATTGAACCTCATATAACAGAAAGTGGGAAGTAGCCTTGAATGCACTAGCACAGGAAATCACTTCATAAATCTAATACCAGCAGCACAGACACTTGGAGCAACAATAAATGAATAGTACTTTTTGAAACTAAGAAGCTTCTGTAAGGCAGAGGACACAGTCAATAAGACAAAATGGTAACCTACAGAATGGGAAAAGATCTTCACCAAACCCACATCAGACAGAGGATTATCTTCAAAATACATAAAGAACTCAAAAAACTAGACATCAAAAAACCAAATAATCCAATTTAAAAAATGGGGTATATATATCTCAACAAAATTCTTAACAGAGGAATATCAAATTGCCAAAAGACAATTCAGGAACTGCTCAACATCCTTAGCCATCAGGGAAATGCAAATAAAAATGACTCTGAGAGACCATGTTACACTAGACAGAATGACTAAGATCAAACACACCAATGATAGCTTATACGGGACAAGATGCAGAGTAAAGGGAAGACCCCCTTCATTGCTGGTAGGAGTGCAAACTTGTACGGCCTTTTTGGAAATAAGTATGACAGTTTTTCAGAAAATCTGAAATCAATCTACCTCAATACCTAGCAATACCACTCTTGGGGATATACTCACAGGATGCCATCCTGTTCCCTTATGTTCTCCTCCCCACTTCCCTTCTCCTCTCCTCTTCTTCTTCCCCTTTTCTTTGGCCCTCAGTTCTCTCCCCCACCCCAATGCTCCCAATTTTCTCAGGAGTTCTTGTCTATTTCTCCTGCCAAGCAGGATGTATGTGTGTCTCTCTTAGGATCCTCCTTGTTACCACAAGGACATTTGCTCAGCTATGCTCATAGCAGCATTATTTATAATAGCCAGTACCTGGAAACAACCTAGGTGCTCTTCAACTGAAGAATGGATAAAGAAAATATGGTACATATACACAGTGGAGTACTTCTCAGTGGGGAAAAACAATAACATCTTGAAATTTGTATGCAAATGGATGGAACTAGAAAAAGAACATCCTGAGTGAGTTAATCCAGACCCAAAAAGACAAACATGGTATGTACTCACTCATAAGTTGATATTAGACATAAAGCAAAGGATTATCAGATTATAGTCCATGACCCCAGAGAAACTAAGTAAAAAGAAAACCTAAAGTCTTAAAATAAGGAATAACTAGCCTATAGTCCTCAAAACCAGAGAAGCTGGGTAACAAGGAGAAACAGAAACAGAAACAGCTGACCTGAGCTAATTAGAGCTCACTGACTCAGGACTGACAGCAGGGGAGCCTGTATAGACCCAAACTAGATCCTCTGAATATGAGAGTTGCTCAGCCAGTCTGTGTGGCTACTGACAGTGGGAACAGGATTTATCTGTACTGCTTGAGCTGGGTTTTTGGAGTCCACTGGTTTTGGAGGGATACCTTGTTCAGCCAAGATATAGAGGGTAGAGCCTTGGTCCTACCCCAGAGTGATTTGTCACTTTGTTGACTACCCATGGAAAGTCTTACCCTCCCTGGGGAATGGATGGAGGTGCAATGGGTGGATGGTTGGGGGAGCAAGAGGAAGAGAGGTAGTGGGAACTGGGATTGCTATGCAAAATGAGAAAAGATTATTTTAAAAGAAATTAAAATAACTTTAAAAAAGAATAGAAAAGAATTTCTGTCCTTCCAGAGGGGGAAGTGTGCGCCCTAATGGCGGCCAGCCGGAAGCCCGGGAAAGGGAGCTCGGCTTGCCCTCCAAGAACCCCTTTCCTTCTGCAGGGTCATAGGATCTCCCAAATCATCCTGCTGCGGGACTGAGGGTCTGGGGACAAAGTGGTGAGGCAATCGCTGCAGGAGTTTCTTTGTCCCACTGAGCCTGCAACCAACAAGGGCGCCCTTTAGTCTGTGAAGTCCTTGGGCCAGCAAGTGGCCCGGATCCTGTACCAGAAGATCTGTCCTTTCTGAGGGTTGAGTGAGTGCCAGAGCAGCAGCAGGCCTGACACCCAGGAAACAGGAGCTCAGGCACGTCCCATCCCCCTAAACTTTCTGGTCATTCAGTGGGGGCTCCCAGTGGGCTGCTGCCTTGCTCTTCTTACCCCATCCCAGCTTCTCCTCCCAAGCATCCCTCTCCATCTGCAGGGTCATAGGAATCCCCAACTCAGCCTGCTTCAGAGTTGGGGGTCTGGGGTCAAAGTGGTGAAGGCAACTGCTGCAGGACATTCTTTGTCTCACTGAGTCTGCAACCACCAAGGGCGTCCAATTGTCTGCGAGGTCCCTGGCCTGCAAGTGGCCAGGATCCTGTACCAGAAGATCTATCCTTCCAGAGCGGTGAGTGTGCGCACTACTGGTGGCCAGCTGGAAGCCCGGGAAAGGGAGCTCAGTTTGCCCCAAAAGAACCTCTTTCCCATCTGTGGGGTCATAGGATCTCCCAACTCAGACTGCTTCAGGGCTGAGGGTCTGGGGACAAAGTGGTGAGGGCAACTGCTGCAGGAGTTTCTTTGTCCCACTGAGCCTGAACCCTGCAAGCATGCCCCTTTGCCTGCGATCCTGGCAAAGGATCCTGGATCAGATCCTTTGCCTAGATCCTGGACCAGAAGATCCATCCTTCTGGAGGGCATTTGAAGGAAGAGAAAAGCA